CATGAAGGAGGGTTCCAATATAAGATTACTAATTTAAGTAAAAATAGAACTTCCAAATACCAAGGGAAAGCAAGTTTATATAGCAGAACAGGAACAAGAATACTAAAATCCAAGGAAGGAGGTATAATTAAGGCCAAGATATCTGACACAAGTAACTGTTAAGTGGAATAAACTCAACTATTATAAAAGCAGGACTCACCATCTGGGTTAGGTAATAAACTGCCTTTCAAAAAACCGCAGTACTATGCCAGACTTGGCCTTTAATCCCAGCCCTGGGGAGGCAGAGGCAAGCAGATTTCTGTGAGATTGAAGCCAGCCTGGTTTACATAGTGAGTTCCAGGCAGGCCGGGACTAGTGAGGCCCTGTCCAAAACAAAAGAAAGAAAAACCAAAATGGTAGTAACAATATTTCTGTCTCACACACTCTTAGATCCTTCTTGTTCCCACCATCGGCAGACAGAACTTAATTTCCATTCCCTTGAACATGGGTGAGTGGTGGCCACAGGGTCACAGTGAGGTCAAACTGATTCAGCTTGCAAGCTGGATCAAGCCAAGTGGTGCCCTGACCCAATCACCATGAGGCCAACACACTGTAAGCCCAAACTAAACCATGTGGGAGACATCTGACCTCATAAAGTGATGGATGTCCCCCAGCCATTCCTGTCACCAACTATAACTACTAGAGACCTCTTACCAGTCTCCCCAGCAGAGCCATTATGACTGCTGCTCTAAGCTGCTAAGTTATGGGGTATCTATTAGCAGCAATAGAAACCAGAAGGTTACCAAGCAAGATTTTCTGAAAAGACACTCTACAACCACTGATGTCACAGAAACTGGGGAATGGCTGGTCCCCCGTTCTCAAACAAGAGTTGAAGAAAAAGAAGTTAGGAAACACAAGACAAGCCTGCCTATTCAAGAAAGGTCCTAGTGTGATTTACTCACCAGCCACTTCACTTTGAAGGAGAAGAGTGCACTGAAGGCAAATATCACCCACAGAATTGGACAGGTGATAAGTCCTAACCAAAAGATTCTTGATTCAGCCTCTGAAACAGTTTTATTTTCTTGAGTTGAACAAAAAAAAAAAAAAAAAAAAAAAAAAAAAAACAAAATTAACTCAATCATTACTGATGTGAGGTTTATCAGTAATTCTTTTTTCTTTTTTAATAGAAAACATAAGGGCTGAAGAGATGGCTCAGGAGTTAAGGGCACTGGCTGTTCTTGCAAAGGACCTAGGTTCGGTTCCCAGCACCCACATGGTGGCTAACTGTTAACTCCAGTTCTGGGGATCCAACACCCTCTTCTGGCTTCTGCAGGTACTGGATGCATGGATGCTCTTACATTCATGCAGGCAAAATACTCACACACATACAATAAAAATACAAAGACAATACACTACCTCAAATTCAAATAATAGACAATCCAAGTCCCAAGTTATAACCAAAAAGGCATGTTAGTGGCTCTACAATCACTACAATCTTAGTAAATGATTTTAGTACATTTACTAAGTTTTAGCACAAGAATTATGCGAGTTCATGGCAGAACAGTAAGACATAGTTCTGGTAGGCTTCTACTCAATTCTTACACTGGTACTGTCGATTCATAGGGAAGCTTTGCATGATCCTTTTCTAGGTGAGAGTCAAGGAAATCAAAGTTGCAGTTATCCTGGAGACTTTATGTCTTAGCAAACCTCAGGAATTCCTAAGGGTGACGAGTTATTTCCAAGGTAAATTTTGTATTAAGGAATATAAGCTCACTGAGCACAATGCTGCTTTCTGAGAAGTATTACCTGGCAAGGCTCTTCAAGCAGCGGGCAAACAATTTAATTGGTAGTGTTGCCAAGATTCTTATCCTTTGTCTCCCAAATTAATTTCCACAGGGAAATGGAATGTTCACTATTAGGAAGCAGAGTAATCCAAAACAAACAAGTTCCAAGGTTCCTGAAGGCACAGGTTTAAAGAATAGACTGATGATTCTGACTTGTACCCAGCTGCAATCGTTTTTTTATCAAAAACGGAAAATGACTGTGAACAACATTTAAAAAGATATAGGAACGGTATCTGCTAAACACAGAAGGATCCAAGGTAACACCCAGCAAGGCAACAAAGCCGAGGTCCACTGGGAAGACATGGTTTTTTTTTTAATATTTTATTTATTATTTTTATTTTATGTGTATGAGTATATTGCCTGCATATGAGTGCACCTGTGTCACACAATGCTGCGGAGGTCAGAAGAGGGTGTTGGATTCCCCTGGAACTGGAGTTAAGGATGGTCTGTAGCTGCCGTGTGGGTGCTAGGAATCGAACCTGGGTCCTTTGCAAAAGCAGTCAGTGCTCTCAACCACTGAGCCATCTCTCCAGCCCCGGGAAGACATCTTTTATTAGCAGTCCCTGAAGGGCAGCTTAGCATGCAGTGTCATCAAGAGGATTCTGGCCCAAATATGCCACTTTGTTTCCAGTCTGGTGCAGTCAGACAAATCCGTTATGCTTTGGAAGGCTGCCTGGGTTAGTACTAACAAGGCAAGTGATCTGCAGTACTGTTTCCATTGTGACTCCTTCACCCTTAAACACCAGTAGGACTCAATCTATACATAATTTATCAGTTTACCTTTCTGGATTCAAACACCCAGTGGCTCTTTCCATCCTCATCAATGTGGTTCCACCAACGTAGGCCAACCATTAGTCTACCTGTGACATTCTGGGAAAGATTAATATGAACACACACACTTTTAAGTATTATTTTAAGCATTGTAAGTTCATAACTTACTGTACTATTTCACTAAATTCTTTAGCTCTAACTCTATAATAGGCAATTAACAACTATCTACAAGACCTGGATAAAACACTGACCAAAATGGCCACACCAAGATCAGTGTGAATGGTGCTTATAGGATAAGCATCAAGTATACCCATAGGCATTACTCTTTCTCTTCTCCCTTAAAGTCACTTGCTTTTCCTCTAATGCTCTAATTTCTTTCTAGGCCTTTCTTTCCTTCTATTTTTATTATTTATTTTTAAGATGGGGGTCTCTTACCATAGCCCTGGCTGGCCTAGTACTCACTATATAGACTAGGTTGGCCTTGAATTTACAGTGATCTTCCTGCTTCCGCCTCCTGAGTGCTAAAATTACAAGATGCAATGCCATGCCTATCCTAGACTCTTTTCTCTTTGGCTATTATGAATGACCTTCTCCCCCATGTCCTAACTATAACTACATACATTTTACATCCATGTACACAACTCTAAATGAGACCTCATTTAGTCTCTCAAATATACTAAGCTCCTGCTTATTAATGCAACAAATTATTCTGCAAGTTTTCCCAATATTTATTTATTCAATAAACACTATGCACCTGTAATATAATATTAATAAAATTATGACTATTAGCCTCCAGTATTTTATGAAAGAAAGGTCAACCAACTATCAACAGCAATAAGTACTGTCAGCATAATGTATGGACTACTTGAAGACTACAGCAGGAATCTGATCTAGTCTGCATATCACAAGATGACTTCCTAAAAAATCAACAATAATCAGTAATACAAGGCATGTTTAATCAGGAGTATCCACTAACAGCTTCAGTTCAGGGTCCACCAACTTGGATGGAGAAAATTTTTCTTCCTTCTCATTAACTCTGGCTAAGTTTAGCATAGCTTTAAGTTATGTATATAAGCAATAAGCTATGAATGTAAGTAGAAATAACAAGATCTTGGACTTTGTCACAACAAAAGTCAGGTATTTTCATGCTGTATTTTACTGCAGATATCCCAAATACTGTATATACTTATCACTAATTTTACACTTTTTACACTTGCTATTTAATCTTACCATTAATGTGACCACACACTATATATTGAATCAGAAATTTACCTTTTAAAATAATTTTAATTATAGACTACATTTTAGGACCCCCCCCCACATACACCCAAAGCCACAGATGTTCAAGTCCTTTATAAAATAGCATAGCATTTTCATGAAATCTATGTGCACATTTTTAAATGTTTAAATCAGCACAAAAGATGTGAATGCTTTGCCAATGTTACACCATATTGAGAATAATGACAAGGTAAAAATCCGAACATGTTCGGTACAGATACAATTTTGTCACCATTTTCAATCTAGTTAGTTGAATGCACAGATGCAGAACCTATGTGGATACCAAGGAGACAGAAGGCTGACTGTATTTCAATAAGACTTCCTTTATAATCTTATGTACTTAAAAATACTATCCGTGGCTTCATGAGCACATGAAAGGGGGCCACAAAAGCACTCAACTGATGGAGGAGTGAGAAGAGCATTCCTGACAGAGCAGCAGGCACAGAAACCTAAGGAATGCCTTAGATTTATGAGACTTGGTGATCAATCAACTGGCTGGTAAGTATCAAAGAGGCAACGAAATATTTCTGACTGCTCAAGTTAAAAAAGAAGAGTGACTTCCAATCCCTGGAAAAGGGAACACTTATGGAAGAGGACTATTTGTAGGGTAGAGGACAACTGCCTTTCATGTATGTTGGGTCTGTGACCTTCATAAGAGCCACCAAAAAACCATCAAGATGCCAGACAGGGACCCCTGAACCTGTCAGCACAAATCTGAACAGAAAGTTAGCTCAGGGGTCAACACAAGTCCTAGAGCAGCAATGAAACCTGGAAGCAGAGATGACACAGCTTAGAAAGCAAATGCAGAAGTAGAGACTCAAAAGAACTAAATTCACATTATAAAAATACTGACATTTAAAGGCTGAGCAGTAGAGAAAAGCTGGCAAAGGAGAGCAGGCATTCACTGGCATTTTCAAGAGCAGCTCCTAGAATATTTCAAATTCCCCCACGTTCTAATTCTTCACTTTTATCTTTTTAGTTTATCTTTCCTAATTTTTCTCAGACTATTTTAAACATCTAGACCTTAGCCCTTTATTTTCACATTTCTTTTCTAATAATAAAAAGCCTGTAGCCTGTATTTCTTCTAAATTCAATTTTAGATTCATTCTAAATGTTGGTTGTAAGTGATCATTGTAAGATGCAAATAACTGATACTTACATTTTTGTTTCATTGTTAAACCAAGATATTTAGCCAGCTTACTTTATTAAAATTTTTTTAAAATATTTTTTTGGTTTATTTATTATTTTATGTATGTGTGTTTTGCCTGCACATATGTATGTGCACTCACGTTGTACAGTGCCTACACAGGCCAGAAGAGGGTGTCAGATCCCCTGAAACTGAAGTTACAGTTGTTAGCTGCCATGTGGGTATGGGAACCAAACCCAGGTCCTCTGCAAAAGCTGTCAGTGCTCTTAACCACTGAGCTATCTCTCTAGCACCCTAAAAAATTCTTTTGATAAAACATTTTTAAATTGATTTCTACCTTTGTTCCACTGAACCACAAAAATGTAGGTGTTTTGACAATTTACTGAGTTTTCTTCCTAATGATTCTAACAAATTTCTGACAGAGTTCCACAGGCACTAACAAAAAGGAATCTCTGAACACAGAAGGTTCCAAATAGTGCTGAGGCTGACTGAGGATGTAGCTTAGTTACTAGGGTGCTTGCCTAGAATGCACAAAGCCCTGGGAACTGAAAATCCTCAGGCCCATAAACCAGGTATGGAAGCACAAGTTGTAACTAATACACTTCCCACTCTTTATTTTGCTTCCTGTGTCAACTGTTGGATATCTACAAGTAATTCTGACAAAGATAAATGAATAGGATTTTTAAGCCCTTGAATTTAAAAATAAAAAATCCTATCAGAAATTGAACTATGTGACTATGTTTTTTTTTTAAAAAAAAAAAAAAACTCTCCTTCAAAAGGATTTAGTTAAAAGCTGAGCATCTCTGATCTAAAAATGCAAAAATCTAAATTTCTGTCATGCTGCCGACATGATCTGGAATATTTAAGGTTTTGAATTTCCAGATTAGGAATAGTCAACAGGTAAAGTGTATGCAGACATTCCAAAATCCAAACAAACTCTGAAATCTAAAACACTTCTGGTCCCAAACATTTTGGGTAAAATTACTAACCTGCATAAGAGATTGGAACTTACAAAGAACTGACTGAAGGTCATGTTCTATTTGGGTAACAGGAAAAGTAAGAACAAAGAGAAACATTCATCAAAACAAGACTGTTGCCAGGATACTATAAGAACAGTTAGAGCATAATGTAACTAGAGAAATTCAGAGAAATAAAAGTCAAAGAAGAGTGCCCAGAAGAAAAGCCTAAAAAAACAGACCTTTGAAATCTTCCTTTTCAGCATTATGTGGCCTAAAGAAACTGGCCACTGCCAAGCTAGCTACTTCTGATACCTCTAAGAATTTAAAGCTCTGAAAATGGCTGCATTGGTGGGCATAAGACTTGTAACACCTTACTAATCTTTAAACTAGCACATATGTCTTCTAAATTCCAAAGTTAGCCTTTGGCTATTATTTGGTGGTTGTTTTTCTTTGCCTTTTTTTCCTCTCAGGATTTCACCATGAAAATTTTCAAATACACAAAAATGTAAATTTTACAGTGAATTCCAAAGTACCTACACCTAGAGTCTAGCCAATTATATTTTACTACATAATCATCTATTTGCCTATGTCTCTATCCTCCCTCTCTTTGCGGGTTGGCCACCAGTCCACCAGGGCAGGGGGAGCAGAAGCGGCAAACGGAGTCAGGACGGCCAGTGAGCACTGACGGAAGAAAGCCCTTCCGGGGAAGCTGGTTTCATGGCGCAGTGAAACAGCAGTGATACAGCCCCAGACACAGTGAAACAGCTCTGTTTATTCAGTGGGAGAACTAGAGAATTTATAGTGTGGAGGCAGTAGTGAAAGCCTCAGTTGATAGGTGCTCATAGTATGCTTTATTTACATGTGGCAGTGGGCTCCTATCTTCCAGACTATCAGGCAATGCCTGATTATCATATAGAAAAAACCTGGGGGTAGTTTTTACTCCAGGTAACTATGCCAAAGGTCATGTTCCAAATAAGATCAGCCATCTGTGCTTGGTGGCACTTTCCAGGTAAGCTAGGAAGAGAGCAAGAGGCCCCCTGCTGAAAAGGGGAGTCCTTCCATTTGGTGCCGAGCCCCTTAGGGCTATCCGGACATGGAGAACTACAACCCTAACAGCAGGGTTTCCCAACAGGATTTCACCATGAAAAATTTCAAACACACAAAAAATGTAAATTTTACAGTGAATTCCAAAGTACCTACACCTAGAGTCTAGCCAATTATATTTTGCTACATAATCATCTATCTGCCTATGTCTCTATCCATTCATTTACCTACCTCCCTAGCTATCACTGTCTCTGAGATTTTCTTACAATCCTTTCTATCAGCAATTTCCTACCTTGGCATAACTGACATTTTAAGCAGGGTAACTGTTCTAGTTTGTTTCTCCATCGCTGTGACAAAACACTGACCAATACCAACTTAGGGAAGAAAGAGTTTATTTGGCTTACATCTCCTGGGTCACAGTTTATCAGGGAACCCAAGGCAGGAACTCAGGGCAAGAACCTGGAGGCAGGAACTGAAGCACAGGCCATGGAGGATCACCACTGCTTACTGGCTTGCTCCCCTGGCCCCTGCTCAGCCTACTTTCTTATGCAACACAGGCCCACCTGCTCAGGGGTAGTACCACCCACAGTGGGCTGGGCCCTCCCACATCACTCATCAAGAAGAGGCCCCACAGACATGGCCACAGGCCAGTCCAATAGAGACAATTCCCCAACTGAGGCTCCCTCAACCCAGGTGAGTCAAGTTGACACTGAAGGTATCCAGAACAGTAACTCTTACTGGGGCTGTCCTGTGCATCATAAAATGCTGAGGCAGACCTTCCTCTACACACTAGATAGACCCTCCCCACCACCACCTACCCCAGCTGTGATTGTCAAGAGTGTTTCAGACACTGACAAATATCCTATTGAGGCAAATTTGCCCGCGGTTGAGAAAGAACACTCCAAGGCACCCAGGATCTTTTGCAAAAAGCAGATGCTGCTTAAATATTTGTAGACAAAGCATACTAGAGCTTTATATAGAAATTATACACAGAATATTCACAAATGGCACTGAAATAAAACCAGTGATACAGACTAGAAGCAGTGTACAGATTATAGCCTGACACATGGCACAGATAACTCAGGAGTATTCATGTGGTTAGATACATTCAGCATTTAAACACAGATAAAGCCTAAAGAACAGAAAGACCAATAACAATCTAAATGTCTTATTTCTTTCACTGTTTATACATTCTTTGAATTCATATTAAGTACAATTTCAAAACAGAAACAACAGGACTTACCTTTACTGCCCAAAAGTCACAGGACAACAACAAGATAATTGTGACCATACAGGCAATGAAGCTGCTGCTGAGCAACTCACAAAGAAGATAGACTACAATTGCACTGACTCGGAAGAACAGGTGAAAAAACGATGCTACGGGATGTCTGAAAAGCAAAGCATAACAACATCAATGCAACAACATGCTACTCCAAGGACCCACAGATGCACATGAAAATCAACTTAGCCATGCATAGCTGAGATCAGAGAAGGCCTGAGAGGAAAGCAGGCCTTTCTTCTTCAGTCCCCACTACTTAAGTCCTATTGTCATAAGAAAATGTACTATATACCCTGACTTTGACACCTCACTGAATAGAAATGCTCACAAAATATCTACCAAGAACTTTACCTAGCTTAGATTATCAAATAATGTCAAATTAATTCCCAGACCCTGAGAAGTACTTCAAGTATTAAGAAAATCACCATCAGAGTTGTGGTTTTTTGGTTTTTTTTGGGGGGGGGGGTTGTATGTGTGTGTGTGTGTGTTACAGAATCTCACTATGTAGCCCAGGCTGGCCTCAAATTCACAATCTTCCTCCCTCAGACTCCCAAGTGTTTAAGATTACAGATAGGTACCATCATGCCTACTATTTTTTAAACAGTTTTATTGACATATGAGTCCAATATCATACATTTCACCTACTTAAAGTACACAGATTAATATTCATATAGTCACATTTGTAAAACCATTACCACAATCAATTTTACAACTTTTTATTACTCCAAAAAGAAACAATACCCACTGGCAATCATCCTCAATGCACCCGACCTCCTAGGCTCAAAACAATAATCCATGTCTATAGATCTGCCTACTCTAAACATATTCATATAAATAAAAATCACTTAATACTTTGTCTTTTATGACCAGTGCTTTTCACTTAGCATTGTGTTTTTAAGGTTCGGTCAAATTTTATTTTGTTAAATGAATTTCTTAATTTTTTTATTTATTTACTTTCATTTTAAGTGTATGAGTGTTATGCCTGTATGAATTTAAGTGTACCCATGTAGTGCAGTGCCTATGGAGGACAGAAGAGGGCTTCAGATCCCGTAGAACTGGAGTTACAGATGGCTGTTAGTCACCATGTGGGTGCTAGGATTCAAACCCAGGTCTTCTGCAAGAACAATCAGTACTCTTAACTGCTAAGCCATCTCTCCAGCCTCATGAATTTATTTAGAAAGAACTAAATTCAGAATAGAAATATGGTTGACTCAGGAATTTTGTGTTACCTATATAAAATTTTGAAATTTGCACCAATAAATCAAATATTTTTACAGAAATTATATAAAGAAATGGTGAATCCCCCCAAACAGTGGCCAGGATGGAATTTCAAATGCCAGTGTTCAAATACCTGGATTTCCTAATCTGAAAACTCAGTACTGAATAAAATTCTAGGTCCCACTTACTCCTAAGAAAATCTGAAGTCATCTCTACCTCTAAGTCAACTGAACAACCAACATACAATTTACAAGCTCACTGTGACTACTCTACCTTAAATCCTATTGAGTATGAAATGTCCCCATGGGCTGATATGTTGAAGCCACTGATGTGTTGAAGCCCAGGTTCTCAGCTGATGGCACTGTTGTGGGAGGTGCTGGAACCTTTATGAGGTGGGCCTCACTGGAGGAAGTGGGTTACCTGGGGCAAGTCCTTAGAGCTTTGCCTTCTTGTGGCCCTTTGGATCTTTCTTTCTGCTTCCAGGCTGCCATGCCATGAGCAGTGTTTCCCACTACAACCTTCTGCTACAATGTCCTGCATCACTGTGGGCTCATAAACACAGAGCCAAGTGACCATGGATTGAAACCTCGGAATATATAAGAATAAAATTTTCCTCTGTCTTCTCAAAGCATCTAAATGTCCCACATAAATCCCATCAGCTGACACCAACATGTAGAAAGAACAGACTAGCCTCTAACACAATTGTGTAATTTAACCTTGTACCTGATTTTGGACTTTTTTGGTCTATTCGTTGTCTCTTCTTCTGCATCGAACAGTGAAACATCTTCAGTGTCATCATTACTGTCCTGTCAGAAAAATTAAGTATGAAGAAAATAAAATGCAGCACTTACATGCCTGCTACGTACACAGCTGCATAACTGTCAAGGAGAAGATGAACTCATACCACAGTTACAAGCACCAGGAATTCACGACCTAGGAAAATGGCACCTGCAGAGCCTGTACCCTGACTCCAATCATCTGACAAACAACACTGGCAATCTAGGAATCAGCTGACCCCAGCCCCTGGGCTCCTGGCCCTTAAGAAAACACTGGGGGCTGGAGATCAGTAGTCTCAATTACTCTCTTCCAAGTCGGAAAGATGAAGCTACTGGTGGTTTGGCTCCTTCATAAAACCGTGAGTGTGTTCTATTTCCATGACTCCTCACAATGTTTCCTCTTCTTACCTACGGGTTAAACCAACTATCAGGCCTCTGGGACTTGTCCCAGCATTTCCTCTTACTGGAACTTTATTTCCAAAAAACCTTTCTATTGGGTCTATCTAATCAGATTATAAAATTCTTCAAATCTGAGTGATGTTCTAGAAGCCCCATAAGGTGTTGCCAGGAGAATCCTGAGAACTGTGGAATGCTGCTCATCACCTGGAAGGCTGAGTCAAGATGATGGTCATCAGTTGGAGGCCAATCTGGGTTAGGACCATTTCAAAAAAGGAAAGAGAAATTAAAGTTTATCTTCATGCTCACATGAACAAGATTTTCTAAAGGGGGGAGCAATGGCAGAGTGGGGTGGGGAACTGACAATGTAACAGTGGCTTTGCTGTTGGCAAGAGGAGATGGAGCCAGTGCTTTAGAGGTGACCCAAGAATGGAGCACAGAATTCACCAGAATATATGGATGATTATGAACAAAGATGCAGGCAGGTGAGGAAAGGTATGAAAATTCCTTCCTGGTGGCCTGTTTCTCAGTGAAACAAGTTTATCAGCTGACAAAAAGACAAAGAAATAAATATTCAAGGTTTCAGAAGTTTTAATACACAAATTGCCTGGGAAGGGGGAGAAGACTGCAGAAAGGTAGAATGCCTAGCAGGTGGAAGGTGTTATCCTAGGTTCAAGGGTTCATGGTCCAGGTTTAGGAGTAGGACCAGTTGACAAGACTCTCTCTTTCCTCAGCTTCCTGCAGGCTGGACACACATTCTAGAGAATTTAAGCCAGGCTGGATTTTCTCCATTCCCCCACAGCAAACTTTTCTGACAAAAAAGTCAGGATGTCCCATCTTCAGGTTCTTGGTATGTATGTCACCACCCTGTCTTTGTTATAATATCTGAAAATATATTTTGTTCCTCAATTTGGTCTCTCCTCCTGATACCTGTCGCGGATCCCATCACCTTCGGACACCCCCACCCCAACCTGACAGTGCAGGGAAATAAAGTTGTCCATACTACTCACTCCTATCCTGGATTAAGAACTGTGGTGTGGTAATCCTTCTGGAAATTACTTGTGAAATAAAAGTTGATTACATTGTGTTTACAGCTAGCTAGCCGAGAGCCAAAGGGTTACAACAATATTAGTTCTAGGGACACAAATGGGATAACCATAGTCCAAGTTTGGAAACAGCCACTTGAATGCAAGACTCTAGCAGTCTCCTCTCTCGGCAGGGCCGCCGGGCACCCCTAAGTGTGGGGGGGATGGGACGAGTAAGGCCTGCAGGCCGCGCCCCTCATCCGCGCTCCTGCGCAGGGTGGGCTTAGAGACAGGGAGCCCCACCCTCGTCCCGCTCGGCTGGAGACCGGCTTCTGCACAGCAGGCCCTGCTCCCCGCCTCCTCGGTCACAGGTGCCCCCGAGGGCTCGGCGCCCCCAGCCCTCTCCGGACGACCAGACAGGCCAACCACGGCTGCAGCCCAGTCCGCCCACGCTCGCAGGGAGCAGGGACACCGACACGACAGTCTCGGGACGCCCCGCACTAAGCCGGGCCCGGACCCCAACGCCAGAACCAGCTCCCGGCGGAACCCTCACCTGTGACAACATGGCGGCCCGGAGCCAAGCCCCACTTCCGGGAGCCACGTCAGCGCAGCAGCCTCCAGGTCCGGTCTGCAACAGACGTGGGCTCTTCACCACGGGCCAGGCAACCGTGCACAAGCTCCAGACTGATCCGGCTTCCCCGCCTCATTTTCCCTTCGAGGAGCCTCATAGGAGGAACTATCCCCGGAACCGGAAGATAGGTGGGCGTGGCCAAAGCGCCAAAGCTTTGGCGGTGGGTGTGGCTGATGATGGGCGGGGCCATGGCGTGCATCTATACACACACATATACATACACACGCGTGCATTTATTTGTAGTCGTGGGAGGGGCGGGCGGTGGCCAGGGACACGCCGCACGCGTGCTAGGTGATGGGCGGGGCCATGCAGATACGCTCGATAGTAAGTGGGACGAGAAATGGGACAGGGTGATGGGCGGTGGGCGCGACGGCCGGTGGGCGGGGCCATGCCGCTAAGCGTGCTGGGTAGTGGGCCCGGGTTCTGGGGACTTAGAGAGCAGCGCCTGCAGGCCTGGAAATGGGTCTAAGCCGAGAAGCAAAAAAAAAACTGTTAAAAGAGAACCGCTAACAGTGGGCCATAGTGGTTTCATAGGAGAACATGGTTTTTGCTGCCTCTGAAGCGCACACTGTCATTGCTGCCAGCTTCGATGCCCGAGTGAAGAGAGGGAGGACTTTAGTCTGATTTAACTTTTAATATATTACGACATGTATTTCTGTACAACCTTACTTTTGATTATTATAAACACTTAAAAAATAAATGTGTCTTTGGGAAGGGATAAAAAGTAAGAACAAAGCAAGGGGACTAGGATAAGCAACGGGGGTGGGGGGCGGGGGACACTGTTAGGAAGGCAATAACCTTAAACCAGGAACAGGAACAGAGGTTGGAACCGGATTTCAGTGCCTGCCCTCTATTATCAATTCTATAACAAATCTCGGTGTCCTTACAAAGTAATTAGTAAATGGGAGATGTTATTGTTAACTACTGTTTAAGTTCACCTGCTGATGGTGAGCTCTTGCCTAGACCTAAAATTCAGAGAATTTAAAGCCACTTTTGATTTATTCATGAGAGTCTATTTGTATGTATTAAGTGCACCATGTCATGCAATACCCACACAGGTTAGAAGAGGGTGTTGGATCCCCTGGAACTGGAGTTATGGATGGTTGTTATCCATCATGTGGGTACTGGGAACTGAGCCTGGGTCCTCTCCAACAGCAGTCAGTGCTTTTAACCACTGAGTCATCTGTCTAGCACCTTAAAGCCATCTTTGAAACTGTGGTGATAGCAATATTTTATTTGATCCATCTCGTTGTAAGACTCATGGGATGTGTATCCCCATCTTTTCTTTTGTATAAGATTTTATATTTTTATTATATGAATGCTTTGCTTCAGTGTATGTATATACATCTGACCTGCATGCCTGGTGCCCACAGAGGCCAGAACAGGGTTTCAGCTCCCCAGAAACTGGAGTTACACACATGGGTGTTGGGAACTGAGCCTGCAGGCATAGCAAGTGCTTATAACCACTGGGCTACCCCTCCAACCCTCACCTTTTCTTAACTGAAGGGATTCTTTTCGCTGAAACCCAAATTTTTTTCTGGCTCTTTACTAGCACTGCTTCAAACATATTATCAGAATAGTGAAGAAATAGCAACAGCTCCCCGAAGAGAGAAAGCTTGGCAAGTTAACTGCATGTCTACACATGAAGGTGACAGATGACTCTGTAACCTTAGACATGTTTTGGTGTCCTACCTTGTGTTTGAGGTTTGTATGAAGTTATCTTTTGGTGGTTCTTTTGATATGCATTCAACTTGAGTTCATGGCATCTTTTAACCATTTAAAACAGTTTGCCAGGAAAGTGAATTTCTGATCTTTTTGTTTGGAGGGATTTGGGTATTTTACATTTTGAAGTTTTTGTTTTAGGGTTTGGAGTAGTGGTTTGTTTGCTTTTAAAATAAAATAGGATGTTACTATGTAGCACAGAGTGACTTAGATACAGTTTGAATAGCCCAGGCTAACCTCTATACTCAATTCTCCTGCCTCAGCCTTCTGCATTCTAGGACTTAAACCAAAGGTCTGGGTTGTGTTTGCCTCTGAGTAAGGGCTATCCCTTTTGTAGGAGGCTGGAACCCTTCAGTGATCCATGACCCCTTGGTAGATTAATCTTTTCCAATGACCTGCCTTGTCTCTGACACCGTCCCCTAAGGTTTAAATAGGAGCATCAACACACCTGATATTAGTGCCTCTTTTCTAGAGAATATGAATGTGCTTAATTTTCTTCTGATGGAGTTTATTCTGAGCAGGAAAAGCACATATAACGTTCTAAAGTCGACCTGTTGAGCTCCCCTCACCCATTTACTTGAACTGAGTTTCATTCTGTGCAAAGATTCCAGGAAACTTTGATGCATTACCCAGATAATTCCATTGTTAAAATTTGCTGGAAGCAATGATAATCCTAAACTGGTAGTGATGAGTGGCATCTACTTTCCATTGATCACCTCCTTACACCCATCCATCAGTGAACTTGCCTACATCTCCCATAGTGGAATGCAGATGGCACTCTCTCCCTGGCTCCTATTTTCTTACTGTAATACTCTTAGTTCTTTGGTTCATAGGAAGTTTCACATTAATTGCCAAGGAAATGTTAAAAAAGAAAAGTCCAAACATCAACACCCCCTTGTTTTCTGTTTGTTATAATGATGCAGCAATTTCCCAAGCCTGGTTTAGATAAACACATTTTGTCCAAGTTCAGGGGTTGCTGTTTTCCCTTGTTTCATGAAATTATCAATAGGCAGACCTTTGATCTTACAGATCCATGCAGCTCTACTGGCTTCTCCTGGATTTATGACTTTAGTGGACTCACTAGCCTGGTATTCCTTCATCTTGGCTTCCCCATAGCCTTTCTCCTCCTTCATAGTCAACAGCATGAACCCAGTGTTTATTCGAAGAGGACAGAGTTGTGTAGAAATGAGGTCATTCTTTCTTGAGAGCCAGGGTAGCTGTGCCGCTTCGTGGAGCTAGCATGTGGTTCGGTTTGATGACCTGCATGCTGGTCAGGGGGCCTTTCTTGTGCATTGCCCCACTGATTGAACTGGACAAGAGCTCTTTGCCCCTTAAACCACCAAAGATCCTGGAGCAGATAAGCAGGGGCTGGGGTACGGTGGATTGGACTCTGGTACTATGCAAAGATTTTTTCAAGTTGGGCTGCAGTTTCTGGATTTCAGGAGGAATATTGGTTTGTTTCACATCCATGGTAGGATGACTGAGTCGCAACTGGTCAACAGCATCTTGAATTGATTTTCCTTTGAAAGTTAAGACCTTCCTTGGGTATGGAATTGAAGGTCCCCAGGCATCAATGACTTGGGTTCGGGGCCTTTGGGGATAGGCAAATTCCTCAGAATTATGGGCCTGTTGCAGTGCATTGACAGTCAGAAGGAACCGGTCAGGTGTCATGGGGACATTCCAGGACTTTTTCTTTGGATGTCTGATTTCTGCTGCACGAATGTCCACACCATCTGTGACTCAAAAAAGAAAGAAAAAAAGAAACAAAAGCAAATCCACATTGCATGAAAATATTAAGCATTTATGCATGAAGGGTGAAGCCATGATAATAGCTAGGCACACTGAGGTCTTGAGGTCTTGATGCCCAAAAGATGTGTCATCAAACAGCCCTGGTGACACCAGAAAGGACTTGTTTTTAATGAGAATGCTAGTATTTGTGTTAAGTGTCATATTTTGAAGGCAAATATGTAATTCCAGTGTTCCACATATTCTTGAAAATTTCCTGTGGGAATGATGGTCAACATCTCCTTTATGATCCACAGAAAACAAGTCTCAGAGATTTATAACATTTATGCTTTCAGCAATGACTGCATTGCAAAGATTTGTTAATCACTTTTCACTGTTTCCTCAAATCAGGGCTGCTTTCTAAGAATGTTACTCCTGGATGATGCAATGTATCATAGCACAGCTAAAGCTAGATTCCTAAAGAGGAGTTCCCAAATATTTTGAACAATATAGTGAATCCAAAACATTCACCAGGAGAAACTCTTTTCAATATACTTTATAGTCAAGGCATCCAAGGTATCTAAGACCAGTAAGGTAACAAAAATGTCTCTTGGCTAAACAAATCAATTATATCTCTTCCACTCAGCCTTTTTCAATCCCCATAATACCTCACAAAAATGCCAAAACATTGCCTTCATTTTCAAAGTAACTAAATCAAGAAAAGGAGAAGTCACTTCGCTAGTCTGTCTGGAACTTAACAAGTAAAAATCTAAACCCTGAGCTCTACTGGCAAATAAACATCAATAGTTTATTGTACATACATTTCCCTAAGCCACCAGCTTGTACTCCAAAAGGGACAGATTAGATTGGAATGAAATTTCAGTTTGTTCCCTGGTCTTTCTTAGCTCAATGATGTTTTATTAAAACATATAAAAATTAGGAAAAAACAATGTCAAAATCTTCCCCTTTCCTTCCAGACCCAGAAAACAAATAATTTCTCCTCTTTTATAAAAAGGAATTGTGATAAGCTCACTTTATTGTCTGGAGTTTTGTTGGATGGAGGAAGTTGGTTTTGCACGATAATATATCTTAGATCTCAAGTCAATATGCCTGCATATTGATCCTCATTGTACAAAATTTGGCTGTCATGTAATATCAATAGTATGGGGTTGTTGGTTTTTGTTGTTGTTTTTTACTATTAGCCATTGCCCACTGGTAGACCTATCATTTGTTAATAATAAACCTTAAAGAAATGCAGATACCATTTTTACTTACTATATAGGGAGGTGCAGGGTGACAGACAATACCCAAAGGTGGCATAGGTGTGGAGAGAGCTCTTACACATTATTAATGGCAGTATAAGCTAGTTCCGCATTTTAAGTACAACCGTGGAAATAGCTTTCTAGCTTTTGAGTGTATTTGTGGCTCAGCAGTTTTACTCCTTGGACTTCACTCTACAGGTAGACCTGTGCATATACACAGATATAGGGTGCCCGTGCCTAGGACAGTCCTTGTTGGAACTTACTTGTTTTGACCTTACTTTGAAACCAGTTTGTTCAGGGAGTTTGTTTCAAAGGAACATTATTATTACTCAGAAAAATTTTAAAAACATTTCAAATGTTTACCAGCACCCTGCAAAAACAACAAAGGGCCATCCTCGAATCCTAGCCGTGGTGTCCAGTAGCACTTCTTAAAATCCCACCCCCATTGCTCCCCTGCCATGTTCTTATGTCACATACATAGCACACACCCCTAACTCCTTCTCTTCTCTCAAGAAATCCCTTACAAGCAGCCTCACCTCCTCTCCCCTCTTCTGCTACTCATTACTCAGATTGATAGAATACAAGAGGTGAGGAGGCTGCATGGCGCCAGGCCTTTCACCCTCAAGTCTTAGTAAGGGTACAAGAAAAAACAGTCATTCATAGAAGCTACTGATTGTATCATTCTTGAAAAAGTACAGCTATTGGCTTGCGGAAAAACCAGACTAAGAGAGAGAGACCGGGAGGGGTCGGTGTATCTTGACACTAATTCATACTAAAACATTACCATTCATCTTAACGTCAGCTTCAATTTTTTCTCCCCAATTCTCTTGACTATCATCCATGCCATCTGTGTTCCCAGGAGTAGGATAAGCTTTCTTTCTGCCCTCTGTCCAGGGTGCTTTTGATTTGCCATGGCTTTCAGCTATCTCGTTTAACATGAATGAAGTGAGATTTAAAAAGAAACCATAGTCATTGTATTATTCAAGTAGATGTAAATAGGAGGGGCACTGTGATAATAGTTCAATGTATTTTTACTCAAAATACCACTGTACTCTTACTGTCACATGAAATGTAACCAGAACTCAAAGGTCTAGATCACATCATGGCTCCCCGCCCATATACTTTGCCTACTGAGTAGCAAGCTTCAAACATTATCTGAAACTCTTGGTTTCTCTAGAAGTGCCTGATGACTTGCAATATGATATGTTTGAAGGTAAGTTGTTGGTGATCTGTGGAGTCTGTGGATCCAATTTCATGCCACATAAAGGGTTGGTAAAAGTAGGAATCTCCTTAGTCTAACCTACATACAATTTATTCTTCAGATGTAATAAATGCCATAAACCATGTCCACACCCCCATCTACAGTTCATAGACATAGGCACACACACACACACACACCACACACACTTCTGCCTTATAACTAACATGTTCGGGTGCACAGATAATCTCCCAAAGGTCTAAATAATACATTCTGTATAGAACATTTTTCTGTTTATAGCAACCTCTTGTCTCTCTTGAGGAAATAAGTAATATATGTTGGGGGATATTTGTTGCTTGGTTTTTGTTGTTTTATGATAAATATTGAGATTATTCTCATCTACTGTACAAAGATTCTAATAAGTTTGAATATCTAACTGGTGGAAATCAAGAGATTCTCTAGAGCTACAAATTATTTGGTGGATCAAAGCAATGGCTCCCACCTTCCTAAAAGGGTAGTTTTTATATCTAGAAACTTTTGATAAAAAGCTCTCTCTCTCTCTCTCTCTCTCTCTCTCTCTCTCTCTCTCTCCCTCTCTCTCTCTCTCATACACACACACACACACACACACACACACACACACACACACACACCTGGCACCCCCCCTTCCCCACCTCCATTGGTTTTCATTACTGAATTTGCAGTGATTTTGTTCCTTTACCTGGGGAGAGCTCCTTGGTTGGCTTCAGATGAATGTGGGACTTCTGAGATTTATTTACTGGGGACTCCTGGGTCACAGTTTGTTTACTAGACACCGAGTCTCTGAGGCTGTGAGCCTGAGTGCTGGTCTTGGACAGCACCTCCCCAAGGCTGTTTTCTTCCTTCTCCTCCTCCCTGTCCTTACTCTTCTTCAGTTTACTTCTGTCCGGGGAGTACTGCCATTTTACATTTTCGAACTGGAACATGAGGATATTGCTGTTTGTGTTGACCACCATCCTGGAACCGAAACAAGATTGCCCACAAAAGGGACATGGAGGCCACAAAAATATGCATTGTCATTGCTGTCCTAGCTAAATCCCTAGGCCAAGGGAGCAGTGCCCCAGGCATTGATGACACAAACAGGTTGGTTAAGGGTCACAAAGGAGGGAAACAATAAAGTGTGAGACAAGGTAACTTTTAACAGTTTTCTTTCAAAGATAACTGTGAAAAAGGTACACATGTTCTGATTGCTTTGCTGTTCAAGCTAAAACACTTCCAATTAATTTCCAATTCCAGAGTGTCAAGTATCCAGGATGCTCAAGACAGAAGCTTCAGTATTCCCCACAAGGATGTCTGGAAAGTCACTCTTTTGGTATTTTGTTTTTGTTTTGTTTTTGAGACAGGGTCTTCCTTAGTCCCAGCTGGCTTGGAACTCACTATGTAGACCAGAATGGCTTCTATTCCCCAGAGAGCCTCCTGCCTCTGCCCCCCAAGTGCTGGGATTAAAGACATGCTGTACCATGCCCAGCACTTTTCTTCTTTTTAAGCTCAGTTTATAGACTGTTTCTGTTGCCACAACAGAGGTAAAATCTCTCTATAGGGAGGGCTTCTCTCCTTTCCTGAACTTCCACACAAAATCAAACATGACTTCAGGGCACGCTCCCTCCATGATCTCTGAAGACAATGGAAATATAGACAGAATATCTCTGCTGTGTAAAGCATGGTGAGTTCTATTGCCTGTAATCCTCACTCTTATGTCCCAGTGGCCAAAGAGATTTGAAGCTTGCATCCCTAGTCTGCAGTACTGCCTCCCATCTCCTACTGGTGTCTTTCATTTTATCTACTTCTTTACATAATACAAGCTGCTTTCCACTCTCTATGTTCAAATTTCCTGGAACTATAGCAAGAAATTAAAATACTATGTATAGGTGCATTTTCTCCCTAAAGGCTGTAGTTTTAAGATACTAGCTTCTAAAGTAAACTTTTAGGAAAGTGACTTGTTGAGGCTAGAAATGCTGAAATGGAATTTGAGAAATCAGATTCCATTAAGAAATCTCTTTCCTGTTTATTTTCACTCAAATCCAAAGAAGATCATCTAAGCTGGTCATTGCAGCACACACCTGTCATCCTAGTACTCTAGTCTTAGTATTTAGGAGACATAGGCAACTGGATTACAGCTTGAAGGCCATAAGGCTCCATAAAGACCTTATTTTAAAAAAGGAAAGAAAAGAAACCCCAAACAAACAGGTAATCACTTCTAATTCTGTGAATGAACTAAGGTTAGAGATAGGTTTGTGTTGTTATTGTTGTTTCTTACTTTGTTTTATTTGGGTGCTGGGAATCTAATCCTGGGCCTATACATGATAAACATACCCTCTGCCACTGAGTTGGACTTCCCACCCACCTTGTACAGCATAATTGCTTCTTAACTGAAAAGTATTAACTTGCTTATGCTTCCTACCAGTCTACCAGAACCACATTTTCCTTGAAGATAGTAAATAGTATTAATGAACTTTAACTAAACAGAAAGTAGTGTTGTTCAGGGAGGTTAAATGATGTCTCAGGTGAGCCTGAGATAAAATTCATAAGTTAATTGTTTGGTTATTTTCAAATACTGTCAACCTGAACCTGTTCATGTACAACAAGCAGTGCAGTAAACAGTGAGCTCAATCTCAGAACTAGTTTCTGCAAATCTTGCTTAGCCCTCCGCAACACTCAGAGCCCTTACAAGTAAATGAAAACTCACTGCTTCCTAGATTACCAAGTTTTGGGCAAAGCCCAGTTAATCTCGCACCAGGAGATCACACCATAGCAGCCCAAACTGGAGGAAAGCACTGCATACCGTGTTCTCCCACAAGTAAACCCAGAGCTAGTGTCCCAGAAGAGAAAAAATTCAAATAGAATTCTTTATGGCTCTGCCCTCCACACCTACCACCCACCTGTTTCCCTGATAAAAGACGTTCAGCACAGGATCACCTCTGGCATCGACTTTTATCACCTTCAGACAGTTGCCATTGAGGAAGCTGTAAATGCGAATCTTGCCATCTGCACAGGCGCTGAGGACCCGGAGATAGAGCAGGGACACCTGCAGCACCTCCCTGCGTGGGAACAGAGCAGCGGGCAGCACATACCTTCTGGCAAACTCTTGGCTTTGCTTGGAGTTTGGAGCATTTTGTGTGTGGTTCTGAGGCAAGAGCCTTATCTATCCTTGAAGTGGTGTTTCCATTATTTTATAATTCTGGCTTTAAATCATTAACCTTCAGACATACCACTTCCCATTCTGCAGCTACTTTGCAGTTTGGTCACTGGACCACAAGGTGGCAAAAGGAACAGGGAGATGCCACAGTTTAAGAAGGGGGGCGGGGTTAATCTGATAGACAGATGGCCATATTTTTTTTTCTTTGCAGTCTGAACCTAGCTCTTATACAAAAATCCTTTTGAGAATCATTGTTTTGCTTCTTTTTAACACAGTATTGTTGTAGAAGAAAGGAAACTAGAGGGCCAAGGATTAACATATAAAACAAGCATCTTAAATATGAAGTTAGTTTCTTTTTGGTCCTCAGTTAGTAGCTCTCATTCTTTCAGAGAATGAACACCTTAAGGAAAATTATAGCTTGGGATGAGATTTGTGCATGTGCTTTTGACTGATAGGTAAGGAAGGACCAGGAGAAAACCTGATAGATACTGCCAACAAACTCCTCCCTCAACAACAGGGTGCATGTTGGACCCCATGTACGTGTGGTTTATTCAGTTCTGACAATTATAATACCTTATTTTTGTTAATGGCACTGAAGAATTTAATGACATCCACTTGTTAGCTCCTATATGCAAAAAAGTCCATTAGTCCCTGACATCTCTCCCCATTTAGGTTTGTTGTAGCTTATATTTGGGTTGAGGGTGCTCCCAGTGATTCCTGTGCTAGAAGCTTGCTCTCTAGGGTAACACTGTTGAAACTTTTAAGAGGTAGGGCCCAGTAGAAGGCAGTTAGGTCACCAGAGATACTCCCTCAGCAGGGACTAATAGAGTTCTCACATATCTCCAGTTATTAACTGCAAAAGCCACTTCACACAGTCTTTCTGCATGAAACCAGTTTCCTTTTTGTGTCTCCACTATGTTGCGATGCAGCCAACCAGACCCTCAACCACAGACTGAACAGGTAGGGTTGCCTGATCTTAGATTTTCAGATTCTAAAACTGTGAACTACAAAAACAGACCTCTTTTGTTTACAACTCCTCCAGTGTCAGGTACTTTGTTAGCATAACAGAAAATAGCCATGCAGGCACTAATGCAACTGGAGAAGATGCTAGAGGGTAAAAAAAAAAAAAAAAAAAAAAAAAATCTCTCCATTTCCTCCTCCCTACACATGTACATAGACTTCAGGTATGCCAACAGATTTTCTTGGACACAACTCTTCATATTTTCGCTGAATGCTTAACACCTAACCCAGCACTTGTCCTATAGCAGGCTTAAATAAATTATGTGTGTGTGTGTGTGTGTGTGTGTGTGTGTGTGTTCTAAAGGTGACTGCATATGTTCTCAGAGTATGATCACTGCTACAGACTGTTAAAAGACTGAAACTACCCCTATTTGGCCTTAACCACGGTTGGATCCCAGGGCCAGATGCAGAGTTTTCAAGGTCCTAACCATTAACAAAAGAGAAACAAAAGGCCTCAGAAAGTGGGAACATGCTTAGCATATTAAAAACAATGAGGCCAGCCAGGCGTGGTGGCACACGCCTTTAATCCCAGCACTCAGGAGGCAGAGGCAGGCAGATCTCTGTGAGTTCAAGGCCAGCCTGGTCTACAGAGTGAGTTCCAGGACAGCTGGGGCTACAGGGAGACCCTGTCTCAAAAAGACCA